CTGGCCCTACTTCGTAGGAGGCACAGTGAAGAATCGAAATCCCAACCTCTGGCTCTGCAGCCAGATACTAAAATCATTGAACTATCCAGTCAGCTCGTAATTGCTGATCCCTAAACAAGTTGGCAAGAGAAGCTGAAACGTGTTGTGTTATTGTGGCAGACTGCACTTTCTTTATCGTGCAGATTGATACTCAAGGAGAAGATTCAGTGCTGTAGCAAATTACTAATCTGCAGCTCATTGACGACAACCATGAAGTGTAAATCAAACAGATTGTTTTCTCTTCAGTGATACGTAAATATCTTAATTTTTCGCTGTATCAATAACCAGGTTTTTCCTCCTAATTGACTCAGTATCCCAGATTATTGGTTGTTCTCTCAGAGGGCAGAACTTGAAGTAAAATGTTTTGAGAAATTTTGAAGGCCTTAAATTGTTTGCATTTGAATCCGAGTTTCCAGGTGCAATAGTACTTAAAGATTTGCTAAATGCATTAAACTTCCATCTTCGTTACTCAGCTTAGTTATCATAACCATACTAAGATAAGTACAAGTGGCCAGTGCCCTTATCTTGTTTATAAAAATAGTTTAAGGTTGATTTGAACTGATGTTATTTTTCCTGTAATCAAAGGAACATTTTGCGAAAGGGACAGATGCAGGGTTCTCCAGCACCTTGCTCAGCAACTAGCATATTGCAAGGTTGTGCCCTTGACAACCAGTATCTATGCTGAAATGCAATATCCTTATGAGCAAAGGATATTTTGTGGTAGTTGTTTTCTTTCGTCCTCTAAATCAGTGGTCTCCAACCTTGGGCCTCCAGATGTTCTTGGACTTTAACTCCCAGAAATCCTGGCCAGCCAAGGTGGTGGTGAAAGCTTCTGGAAGTGGTAGTCCAAGAACATCTGGAAGCCCAAGGTTGGGGAACACTGCTCTAAATTGTCTAAAACCCTTTGATGGTCCTGAAGCAGGCAAGAGCTGCAATCATGTGCAGAGTTACTCTTTCACTTTGTACTAAGCATTTGGCAAGGTGAAAATGTGCAAAAGAGAATCATTCTGCTTCCTTGCTTCTCCACTCTCCACTGTTTTCTGTAGTGTGTGGATAGACAGTTCAGAAAAAAACCAGGTCTTCCTGCTGGATGTCATTGCCACAGAGAGTTGGTGGCTAGGTTTACTGCCCCTTTCCCGTCCCCTTTTGTCTCGAGTTCAAGACTTAGAAATGCATCCCGGCTCTTGGGAAATGGTGATCTCTCTCTCCATGGCTTCCTCTGCATCATTTTCATTTTGAAACAGACCTGTTTTTAGTTTCAGTCACCACTAGCCACTGCCTGTGACATATATAGACTTGTAATCTACCCACTGTTGTAATTGCTTGGTTTAAAAAATGGATTTGGCTTTATTGTGAGGTGCACCTGTATAACAGAATAAGACTGTTCTTCTTTTTCAATTCTTGCTTTGGTTCTTTTCCAATCAGAGTGGAGTTGATTTAAATCATTATTTTTAAAAAAAAAAAATTTAAACAATTTAAATCAAAAATTGATTTTTATTTAAATCATGGTTTAAATTGGGTTTTTTTTGATCATTGATTTTTGTGTGTGTGTTTTTCTGGGCCAAATATTATACATGAAAAGGGCTGCATACCCTGTTTCTCTGAAAATAAGATCTAACCTGAAAATAAGCCCTAGTATGATTTTTCAGGATGCTTGTAATATAAGCTCTATCTCAAAAATAAGCCCTAGTTAAGTGAAAACCCATCCTCCAGCATTGTGGAGCATTGTGCTGCAGCCAGAAGACAACATGACTGTATTTGAATAAATGTAGATTGTTGTACATGGAAAAAAATAAAACATCCCCTGAAAATAAGCCCTACTGCGTTTTTTGGAGCAAAAGTTAATATAAGACTGTGTCTTATTTTCAGGGAAACACGGTCTAAGATGTCTTGAGGAAAAAAATGAAATTATTTCTGAAGATTTTATAAGAACATATATTTAGTTTATGGACAGATTGCTGTTACGGAGAGATGGTGGTCCTCACCAAAATTAAGTTGTAGCTAGGTTTCTGTCAGAAACCTTATTTTGTATACTTCCTTTGGAATTCTGCAGTATGGAAACCTGTTTGTCTTAAATGTCCATGTGTGGTCCTCCTGCACTGGAAAGAAAGGCTTTCTGAAGCAGTGTGGCAAAGGGTTACAGATTTTTTAAATCTGGGGGCTGGGCATGAAATAGCGATGGACCCAAAAGTTAGATTTGGAAGCCTATGGTATATATAAGCAGCACACTTTATGGCTTCCTTTAGGGAGTCTGTCCATCTTGTATTTGGTCTTTCTTCTTTCCTTTCACCTTTCCCAGTGTTATTATTTTCCAGAGAATCCTGCCTTCTCTTGATGAGCCCAAAGTAGGACAGCCTCAATTTCCACATTTTTGCCTCCAGAGATAGTTCAGGCTTGATTTGATCTAGGGCCCATTGGTTTGCCTTTCTGGTAGTCCAGGGTATTCTTAAAGCTCTTCTCCGGCCCATTTAAAATAGATGTTTTTTTTTCCTGTCAGCTTTCTTAACTGTCCAGCTTTCCCATACATGGTAATTGGAAATACAAGACTGTGAGTAACCTTGGTCTTAGTTTCCAGTGATACATCCTTACACTTGAGGATCTCTTTTAATTCCATCATTGCTGGCCTTCCTAGTTTCAGTCTTCTGAGGAGCACGTTACACTGATATCCAGAAAAGAAATAAATGGATGTTAGATCAAATTAAGCCTGAACAGGAAGCAAAAAACTAAACGAAGACTTCCATGTTTTGGATAGCTGATAAGAGGGCACACTGGAAAATACAGTAATGCTGGAGGAGGTTGAAGGGAACATATATATACAGAAGGATGGATAGGGATGATATAGAGGGACTCAATAAAGGAAGCCTCAACCTTGAATTTGCAAGAACTAAGCAGGGCTCTTGAGGACAGAACCTTCCGAACGTCACTAATTCATAGGGTTGCAGTGAGCCGGAAGCAACTTGGTGGCACATAACAACAAATTAACTAGATGGCAGTTCTCCAGCTTTAACTCAAGCTTTATTGAAAGATGACTAAGAAGTATAGTTCCAAAATAATGTCACTTAGGATTACATGTGTGGGGTTGTAGATTTCAATCCTTCGTTGTTAAAAGGAGCTTATGGAACTCAAGAAGTTAGCAGCTTTGAAGCACTGTGCCCTTAAGATTTTGGAAACCATTGGAATACTTTTATTTCTCTGTATTTCAGAACTGTGGACCTCCAGATGTTTTTGGAGGATAACTCCCCTAGTGCTTCTGCCTCAACATTGGCTATGCTAGTTTGAGCTGTAGAACTTGTGCTCCAAAAACATCTGGATGGCTGCTGTTCCCCACCCCTGTTCTTGGTTATCTTTCAACGACTAGGGATAAACTGGAACGTAGTAAGGGACGTTTTCATGATATTCCAATCTGATCGAACTTTTAATTCATTCTGATAGAAATATGCCCCTTGTTAATTGTTACCTGCCTAGCAGCTTTGGGATGGGTTGTGATTATATTTCCAAATACTTTATGCTGCATAAACACACTTATTCCTCTCTTGATATGCCCAGCACTTTTGAAAACTGTACCTTAATACAAGCGTATTCTGCAGTGTTATGCCAGAAATCTGAATGTAGAAAGCGTATTTCAAATATTGCATGTGCCCTTCCGTTTCCCCATCTCAGCTGCCACCTGCGATTCAGATGTTTCAGGCATGTTTTTCACAGCTGATTATATTTTTAAATGCTTGTCTCTCCCAGGGGCCTTTCCCGTCATTGTGGTATTTTTCTCTCTGTGTTAATAAAGAACAGAAAGAAGGAACAGAACAGGAATAGTATGATGAACAGGAGTCTTCTGTACTGTCTTTGTGTGCTGTCTCTTGTGCCAGAGAATGCTTTTCATATGTTGGTTCTACTAAGATTGGCTTATGGCAGGCAGGAAAAGGATAGCCTTACAGTATTTCTAACCCCTATGTCTGAAGAAATGGACCACGTTCCACAAAAGCTTACTTTAAAATATAGCAGTTTTGAAATCGCCACATGTCTTCTCTCTTCTTAGGCTGCTTTTGCTTTGTTTTGTGTTTCTTGTTAAAAGTCTTGTCTCAATGCTTGTAAAATCACGAAAAATGGCCTTGAACCAGTTTTTGCAGTTTGTCATTGATCTTCTGTTCTAGGGGCAGGTAATTTGATTTGCCAGTTACCCTGCTTGTTTCTCTTCAGAGCGCCCATTAAAACTTCACTAGGCAAGTGTGAATAAAATATGGTAAATTAAATTGTCATTTGGCAAGCAGTTTGCCATGTGAGATTAAAAAGCCAGGGTATTCCCAGGGTAGATGAATGTTGAGGAAAGGCCAGTGGACCTCTGTGGAAGACTGCAGAACACTTGTCCTATTTGGTGATACCTGGTATCCACTCTTGGTGGCTCTTCCCTCATGCTCCCATTATGGCCCATACATTGAATTTGTAGATTCAAAGATAAAATGTTTTAAAATAAATCAGTAACCTTTTTAGGTATGCCTGCAATTTCTGTCTAGAACATTTGACAAGAATTCTAAGCATTTTAGTCAATTTAAATATATTTATTTGCCTACCTAGTTGTATCGGAGTACCCAAGGGGAAATAAAGGTAAAGCCGTAACCATCTGTGATATTCACTGTAGCTTGTTTTTAATCTGTGGAACAGATGTAGGATGGTTTCAAGTGCAGCATTTCTTTGATCTTTCTCATTTTAGAGGATAGGTTCACACAGGTAGGAAGGAACAGACATAAGTACATCTAAATGAAAAATAGTCCAGACATTAAGATTAGTTAAAGTTTCCTGTAAGTTCTTGGTGAGATGTATCCCTCTATCACTTCTGCAGAAGTCTGACCTTTTGCTTTCAAGCTTTTCTCATCAGGTGGACATGTTTCAGATCCAAAATCTCACAGGCAGTCCTTTCTGTACCTTAATATCATGCTGACATTTGGAACTGTCTTTTGTTTCAGCAGGTGGCAGATGTGAGAGAAACTATTAATGAATGGTCATCTCAGCTATGATGGCAGACCAGCCACCTCCATTAGAAGCCACACCCATTTTGAATGAAGTGCCACTTCTACCTCATATGGTCAATGGGGACACCACACAACAGGCAAGTGGAACTGCATAGCTTAAAAGTGTCTTTATTTGTTGACTTCTTTTACTCCATGCTTCAGACAGTTCTCCCCCACAGGAGTAAAATAAGACTCTACCACTGAGTTTACAAACAAAATTGATATGAAATAGGAGTATATGGAAGAGAAAGAGGAAGGAGACCAGTTGTACAGATAATATTCTTGTGTACTTACGACTTATGGTTTAAATCAAATCCACCCTGCTGAAAATGTTAAGCTTTTGCTGGTAAGCACAGAATGATATTTCAGAAAGGTTTTCTAATCTAGATTCCTAGCATCAGTTTATGTCTTCTTTGTGACATTATGATTGTAGGTTTTGCTGGCTTACCTGTTTGTTTATTCACTTGTTTAGTCACTCTTTGTTTATATTCAAGGGCACCTGTGTTGTGTGATGACTTACATTATACTGCAGTAACTTGTACTGGTTGAAAATTTCATTGAAAAATTTGCATTCCCTCTGGCTTGATTGTGTTTATTGCACAATAGAGTGTTGATACATTTGCTTTCTTTATCTGTTGTTAAATCAGTTTCTGTTGATACCGTTTATAACAGCAGGTGAAGATATTTCATGGAGATTAGATTTGAGGTTTGTAATCTCTGACTGTTCCTTGAAACCAGGAAACTGTGTTAGGCATCCCCAGGCGATGGGCCCTTGAGGGGGTAGATTTTCAAGCCATACCACGAACTGCTTTTAAGACCGCCCTGCATTTGGAAGAGGAGACATTTCATACACCATGGATAGATAAATTAGAGAGATACAAATTCAGAATTCTCACTGCACGTGTGAAGCTAGTGCTGGATTTTGAGGTGGAGAATAGACTGTAAAACCAAGGGGGCAGTAATTTTAGGTCAACTGTTTTGCTCAAGAGATATACTTAAGACTATCCTGGAAGGCTTAGTACCCCGTTTCCCTGAAAAAAAGACCTAACCTGAAAATAAACTCTAATATGATTTTTCAGGATGCTCGTAATATAAGCCCTACCCCAAAAATAAGCCCTAGTTAAGTGAAAGCCCGCCCTCCACCACTGTGCAGCAACCAGAAGAAGATGACATGACTGCATTTGAATAAACATAGATTGTACATGAAAAAAATAAAGCATCCCCTGAAAATAAGCCCCACTGCATTTTTTGGAGCAAAAATTAATATAAGACCCTGTCTTATTTTTGGGGAAGCAAGGTATAACTGGTACTTGGGACAGATACAGCTGGAAAAAGAGCCTTTTCCCACCCTTTGTTATTTTTTAGTTAATTTGAAGGAATGTGCAGAGTTCAGTCAACTTTGAGAGGAACTGCAGTAGCTGAATGCTCGCACTGTACAGTGACTGTGCAATTCATATTGAAATGATTCATTCCGTTTCCTGTTGCTGCAACTCTACATTAGCTGTTCCCAATGTTGAGTCGCCAGATGTTCTTGGACTAAAGCTTCCACAAGCCTTCACCACTAGCTGTGCTGGTCAGGATTTCTAGTAATTGTAGTCCAAGAACATCTGGAGACCCAAGGTTGAGAACCACTGCTCTACACTCATCCAGGCCCTGATCTCTGAGGATTATATGAATAAGTTATTAATTAGAGTGGCTTCTATCAGAGGAGTACAAGCAAATTAAAAGAAAATACTTGGAACTAAATGAAAGCTTCTCTGATCTGTGATTATATGAGGTACAATAACTTAGAAAGGCTTCTGATACAGATGTAGAATATTTTGCCTGTCCAGTGATTAGAAACAGATTAGAAACTGCTCAAATGAGGCATAGAGGCTTCCACTTTAATAGTTCTCATTTTCCAGTAAGAACCAAATGGTTTAGCTGTTGCTTTAGATGATGTATTAGGTCATCCTTGACCTTTCCCATCCATATTATCTGATCAACACATGCGTCATCTTTGCACTCTTCAGTACACAATTTGCTGTTCTTTGTCTCTTTGTTGAAGTTTTTTTTCCCTAGTTTTTATTTAAAAGAGAAAAAAAACTAACCTTGTAAGGATTAGAGAAATTAAACTTAAAAAAATCACAGTTCTAGTGAGCAAAAAGGTTATTGGTTTTTCTATAACAAGAAACTTGTTTTGACTTTTAGTTGCGCAGAGAAGTACAGATCTTTATGAAGCAAAAGGCAAAACACACAACCAAAAGGATGTTGTGTGCTGAAAATATTGTTGGCCCATAATTGCTCCAAAGTGTTGGATTCGAAAAGCCAGTGCTTGAATGACGAATAATTAGCATTTGAGAAGCTGCAGGCTACAAATTTCAGTAAAAAAAATGAAGAGAATGCTGGCTGATGTTCTTCTTCGTGGTCTCTGTGAATGCACACAATTGGGGTTATACTGCGCCTGCGCAGGACCTCTCGGAAACTTCTAGAGCTTAACGGTATGTAATTAGTGGGGCGTTCCCTTGTGGAGCGCATGCTCTGCCCTCCAAAGACCTCCTCAGTTCCCATACGTCCACTGCTGTCAGATATAAATTGAGGCAAGTGACAGGCGCAGTATAACCCGATTGTGTGGATTCACTAAACTCTACCTCCTCAGTTCCCATAAGTCCGCCGCTGTCAGATATAAATTGATACAACAAGTGACAGGCGCAGTATAACCCAATTGTGTGGATTCACTAAACTCTTTTTTGAAACCTTAAGAATATAGGAAGCAGTATTGTCGAGGGTCCATCTAGTTCAGTTATTTGAAAGCAAGGACAGCGGACATGTGCGTTCAAACCCCTAAAATCTCACAAACGGGTGGGATTTTGAGTGCTGCAGGAGCCTTTATCAAGCTGGGCTTTGTAGAGTGCAGAAGAAGAGTGCGAAGAGGTGCAGAAGAAACAGAAAAAAAATATCTAGAAGTCTTCAGCAAGGTCGGGGTTTCTTGCCATCATCCCTGACTTTAGCCCATTTTTAGTTTACAAACCGTTGACCTAAAAACAATCGGTGCACGCAGTTTTGTGTGAAGAATATTGTAATGTCCTCATCATAATCGTAGAACTGCAGAGCTGGGAGAGATCCTATGGATCATCAGAGTCCAACCCCTGTCAGAAAGGCCCAGTGGGGGAATTGAACTTCCAAACCTCTTACTCCGTAGCCAGAGACATAAATGACTGAGCTGTCCAGCCATCTCTGCTCTGTTTTGTCCTGTCTTTACATTTATTTTGCAACTTTTAACATAGCAGTGTAGTCAGTTGCCTTACACTTGGTCGGCTTGTTTGCACGTGCAGCTGCATAATGTTTATTCAGCAGTAGTGGCTTGCAGAAGACGTAGCATGGGTGCCTCTGCAGATGATTTCTTGGGAAGTCCCCATTTAACCCACAAGATACCTCTGCTGCTTGGATTGCTAGCAGCTTTCCAGAGTTTGGTTACTGTGGGCCCATTTTTGATGGACTGTGTCTGAGACTAATTCAGGGGAATATCTGTGACATTGCTAACCTTGTTCACTGCCACAATGCTTGGGGCATCTTGTTATATCTTTCCTGAATTAACTTATTTAGCGGCCCCTTCTTTAGATATTTCCTGAAGACCAGTGGGCCGTTGCCATGTAAACATGTTAGGATTGGTCGTGTGAATTATTTATTCTGCTTTTTATCGTATAGACCCTTGGCATTAGAGTCAATGCTTTCTCTGCTTAGTTAAGTTGTGCTTTTCATTAGAAAAACAAAAGTAAACGTTTTCTGTTGGCAGGCACAAGCTGAGGTCAATGCGCCTGCCTAGCTGAAGGCTACGCTTGTACAGCTCGTTCCTAGGAAATTGAACAATTCTACCTGTTAGTCATATTTGTTAAGATAAATTGTGTTGTTAAGATGAACGTATTACCTTGTTAACATGCTGTACAAGAATGCTTTCTTTATTCATATCAGTGTTGCACAATTTAAAGTAAGGGATGTATATGTAATAAAGGTAAAATTAAGAAGAAATTAAAATGCTTAGATAATTAGACTATTTTTGTTCAAAAGCTGGCCACTTCAGTCGTGTTATCTCGGCCCTTTGCTAGATCTTCTTTTGTACAGGTGATAGGGCATAAATTGCTTGCGCATAAGTGTTGCATAGATTGAATTTCTCCACAGTCACAGAGAATTTGTCTTGTGTCCAAGTAACCCCATTTTGCTTGATTATTCTTCGATCTTCCTACCTCACTTAAAAGTCTGTTAAGTGACTTCCAGATGGTCCGGCCAGTGTCTTGTCCAGCCGGGATGACAAGTCTCTCAACCAGGAGCCTATTCCATTGTACTGAAATAGAATATCACAATTCTAAACATGTATTTGTTACCATGCACATTTCTCCCAAGGAGCTCAGAGGAGCCTACCAGGCAGGATTCCTTTTGCATTCCTTTTTATCCTTAATACAATCCTTCAGAGATGTTAAGACAGATGGATGGATGGGCAAAAAATCACCTTTTGCATTCCTTTTTATCCTTAATACAGTCCTTCAGAGATGCTAAGACAGATGGATGGGCAAAAAAATCTGCAACTGATCTTACAGATGTATAAAAACTGTGTTAGTGATAGATTGTTAAATAATGGCCCAAATGTTGCTCTTGAAACTTTATGCTGCAGAAGCTGATGAGCTCATGCTTCTAACATTTATGCTATATTAATTAAATGACATTTGTCCCCCTGTTTTAAGTTCTGAGGCTCCCTCTTTTGGCAACAGGGCATCCCTTGGGAGCCCCAAGGGGAGGGTTTTAATTACTAAAAATTGCTGCTGGTGGTCCCAATCCTGGCAACAGCAATCCACTGGGAATATTTGGTAATTAAAGCCCCCACCTGAGGCTCCCAAATATTTACCCAGCGTAGGGAGCTTCTCAACCTCAAACGGGGGATAGGAAGCCTTTCATTAATTTAAAATAAAATTTAGTGGCACAAGCTGATGATGCCATCAGCTTTCTGCCACTCAGAGTTAGACAAACAAGATTTGGGTCGGTAAATGGAATGCTGCATTCTGTAACTTTTGGACAGACTTTGTGTACAGCATTTTACTGTAGTAGATAAGGAGATTTACTAGTGCAAGGATGATGGTATCCACAGAACAGAGAGAAAGAGAGAGAGAGAGAATGTAGTAAACATGCTTGAAACCAACAGTACAGCAGCAGTACTGTGATAAAACAACATTTTAATTGCTGCATTCTGTAACTTTTGGACAGACTTTGTGTACAGCATTTTACTGTAGTAGATAAGGAGATTTACTAGTGCAAGGATGATAGTATCCACGGAACAGAGAGAGAGAGAGAGAGAGAGAGAGAGAGAGAGAATGTAGTAAACATGCTTGAAAACAAAAGTACAGCAGCAGTACTGTGATAAAACAGCATTTTAATCATAAGTGAAGGAGCTAAAATTAAATTAGAAGTCTCTGTTTTCCCTGTAAATTATTTTAAATCACATAGTACTGTATTTACAAAGGAAAGGAAGACTGAAAGCTTGGGTATATATAGCTTGTCCAGTTTATCCATTGCTTCTAATGGAAGGGAAACTTTCTTAAAAGAAAGGCAGCAAATAACTAAGGTGTCCTGCTGGAGGCAGGTGAGCAAAATCCTTCTGTAATTTTGTGTAATTTATTTTCAAGTGTGATATAACTACACTGTGCATGCCTGGCTACAGAAAAGCTTGGAAGTGTATGCCATCATTGCCCAATTTGGACATTTCAAACCAAGGATTGATTTTGCGGTTCTGGAACCCCCAGTTTTGCCTCTTCACTTCTGGAAGCCAGTATGGTTCCTTAAGAGTAAGTCTTGTGCTTTGTTTTCAGGTTATCCTTGTACAAGTAAATCCTGGAGAGACTTTCACAATTAGAACTGAAGATGGACACATACAATGTATCCAAGGTAAAATGTGTGTGGAACACACATGCGCATGTGCACACATGCTTGTGTACATGCTTGTATATTCATGCTTCTGTATTGTTTATAGAATTTGTATTTTTATATACAAGTATGTATATCTTAGTAAGGGACGTGGTGGCACTGTGGGTTAAACCGCTGAAGCCTCTGTGCTGCAAGATAAGAAGACCTGCAGTCGTAAGATCGAATCCACGCGACGGAGTGAGCTCCCGTCGCTTGTCCCAGCTCCCGCCAACCTATCGGTTCGAAAGCATGGAAAATTCAAAAATGCTAGTAGATAAATAGATACCACCTTGGTGGGAAGGTAAACAGCGTTCCATGTCTAGTCACGCTGGCCATGTGACAATGGAGGATTGTCTGCGGACAAATGCTGGCTCTGTGGGTTGGAAACGGAGATGAGCACTGCCGCTTAGAGTCGGACACGACTGGACAAATTGTCATAGGGAACCTTTACCTTTTTACCTATGTACAGTGGTGCCTCGCATAACGTTTTTAATTGGTTCCAAAAAAAAAACCTTATGCGAAAAAAACTTTATGCGAAACACCATTTCCCATAGAGATGCATTGGAAACCGGTTAATCCGTTCCAATAGGCACGGATTGCTGTCCTTAAGCGAAAAAACCCATAGGAAACATCGTTAAACGATACAATGTATCCTCCATTGGAATGTATTGTAGCTGACTCAATAGGTTTCAATGGCTTTGCGAAGTCAATTTTTGCAAAATTAAGTGTGTCATAAAAGGGTCAAAAATGGTTTTAAATGCTTGGATTAGCTTCTGCACCCTCTAAAACGGATGCAAAAGTTAATTTGGCTTTGATCTGACTTTTCGTTAATTAATGGTGAATTTTTTCCCCCCAACTTTTGACAGCTGTCAAAATCTGACAGCTCCATTAATTCCTATGGGGGAAGAAAAAATTCACAAAAAATTAATGAAGACTCAGCAACTGTTCTAAATTCTTGGGTTCGTTAGAGGACCCCCTAAGTTGTGTGCAAACCTGATTTGGCTTTGATCTGAACTTTCGTTAATTTTTTGTAAATTGTTTCCTCCCCCA